GGATACCTATGGTCCTAGCTATTTGCGAGGCTGAGGCAAGTGAAATTGCTTAAGCCCAGGAGTTTGAGGTTGTTGTGAGCTGTGACACCACGGTACTCTACCAAGGATGACATTGAGACTCTTGTCTCAAAATAAATAAAAATAAAAATATGGGATAACTTGCCGTGTCACACCTAACTGACAAATGATGATTAAATAAGAAAATGTGAAACTACTTCAAAACATATCAATGCCATATAGAGGGCTTTAAATGCTGTTTCATCAGTTACATAAGGAATCTAATCAAAATACTTGAAATCATACCTGTTGATCAAAAATATGTTTTGAGAAATATAGACATTATACACAAATACATCTTAAATGAACTCTTTTTGTGGCTCTTATTGAAAATTCAGAATGTTAGCATTTTTGCAATCCTCAATGTTTTATAGATGAGAAAACTGAGACTTTTAAGAAAATGGCAAAAAGTCACAAACCTTAAAAGTTGAGTCAAAAGCCAAACTTAGGGGCATCTGAATAATGAATATTTTTGTTATTGCATTTATTTTTGTTAGACCACAATTTTCTTTGAGATTAATTTTAATATGGGATTAAAAATAAAATTTCTTCAAAGTGCTATAAATACAAAGAAAAAGAAAGCTACTATTATCTAAATAGTTTATTCCTTTCACTTGAAAATGTCTTCCTTTACTTAAACATCTATCTAAAACCTACCCTCCCTAAGAATTCCAATACCTCCAGCAAGTCTATTTTGCTACTAAAGGCTGTACTGATCTATCATAGATAAAAAGTTAAGCATGAGGTATACAGTATAGAGTATTAAGATATCATATGTGTAAAATACATCTATTATGTGCAGGACACCGTACAGAGAGTGGGATTCAAAGCAATGTATGCACTTATAAATTCTTTGGAGAAATAAAACATATATACAATTTTTGTCAATTATACCTCAGTAAAGTTGGGAAAAAAAAGAAAGGCAGAGGCATTTCAAGTAGGAGATAAGATTTAAACAAAGACATAGGACTACAAATGAAATATTCAGGAAATGCTGGTTGAGTTTGATCTGGTAGGAGTTCGGTGGAGATAAAATTTTCATTTTAAGAGAAAATGAAGGAGGAACCATTTTTTGGAGGATCCTCAGTATGAGGTAATAGGAAATTAGATAACCAGTTAGAAGGTTAGATGCTTTACAGGTATACATTAGTTCATTTATTTTTTATAACAACAAGACTAAATTAGGTATCATTAACTAGAATTTTATATATGAGCAAATGGCCCTAGCTAAGTAATACATGTAAAATTCAACCCAGGTCCGTTCTATATTGAAAACCTGACCTCTCTTTTTTGAAACCATAGTGTCTTTCCCAAGGAGTCTGAAGATCTAAAAGGACTAGGTAGCCAATGAAATTCTTATCATCACTAGACCACTGTTTAGGAAGATTAATCTGATAGAGTGATACAGAATATGATTACGTGTTTAATTTTCTTGTAAGAAACGTAAGAACAGGGGCTGCAATATATTTGACCTGTATATCCTAGAGTGTCTAGGCACACTGATTAGCATGTAATGCCATCTCCTTATGTGCTTACTGAAGTGAAAACTAGTTTATTACCAACTTGTTAAAAATTTTGCCTCTACTTTATCTGAGGTAGCTATTTACTGATAAAAAGTTTTCAATAAAATATTCCAAATCAATCTCATAAAAGGACATCTTCAGCTTATCCTCCTATCTGAAAATTTTTGCCACTTACAGAATTATTGGAGAAATTGTGAAAAACTTCCGTGAAGATGTAAACTGTACTCCATAGTCCAGTTGTTCCCAATGAGTTAGCAGTCTTGCTTTACCCTGGTCTGGAGTTTCAAAAGGTGTTCCTTTCACTGCATGCAAAAATACATACATACCCTGGAAAACAAACAAGGGAGTTTATAAACAATATGAAAGACAAAATTAGTCTTTGTTATTAAACATTACTGTAGTTTCAGGCTGTCTGTGACTGTCTTGAGCTGCTAACTTAATAGCACAAGTTTTAACACGTTGACTGCCACACTAGAAAAATTTTTTCTTTGGGGCCACAGTATTCTATACAAAAATAAAAACTTTGAAAATAATCCTTCCTGGGTGGCGCCTGTGGCTCAAGGAGTAGGGTGCCAGCCCCATATGCTGGAGGTGGCAGGTTCAAACCCAGCCCCAGCCAAAAACTGCAAAAAAAAGAAAATAATCCTTCCTTATTTAATGAAAAATTTGTTATTTCTTGTTTTCTGTGAGTTACATGCAACTTATGTGACACTAGAATCAATTTTTACACTGTATGTTACATGAGTTGTGATTCATGACATCCTTCTTCAATTAGTTTCTGACAATGGAGTCTTTTGTCATTCTACAACATGGGAGTGGACCTTGGTCCTGGATGATGACCTCTGAATCATACCCCCTAAATATGTGCAATAATGTCATGTCACTACATACTATCCTATCAATTTTGTTCAAAGAGCCACCCAGCAAACATTTAGAAAGAAATGCAGATCACAAGTCACAATAAATTGAAGAATACATCCCAGCATGGGTGGCATGCTTGGGCAGGCAGAGCTGAGTGACAGGAGTTGAGGAGACATGCTGACTAACAGCAAAAACAAAGAGCAGGGTTTCATAGTGCACAAGCATGCTATGTACCTTCCTGCTTATCCACTAGTTCTGTATGCTTCATGAGGCCTGGGACTCAAAGCTAGTGTGAATTAAATATAACTCACATGGCAATCAATGCTGTTAAGTTTCATGAAAGTCATTTTTCACAAAAGTTTTGAGATACACAGAAAACAAGAACTGTAAAGTCTACATGGATGGAAACAAATGAGGCCCTCCCAGCAATACCAATAAGCCAAGCAAGTTTAAACTTGCACAGGTCAATCAGAAAGGACACTGTGGGCTGTTTCTTAGAAATCAAATAATAGAGACCATAACACAGTCTGTCTCAAAACTTTCATAGAGATCTGCATATAACAGTGAAAGGCTGTTGCCAGTTCTTTATGGTAAAATAAAGCTTTCTGGGGCATATGTGATGAAAGTAAGTAGAGGTCAAACAAAAGTAACCTGTTTTCATATCTTTTCATTAAATTGAAAATAAAAAGTTATCATCAGGGTAACTTTACATCATTACATTTAGATTTTCTAACCTGTCCTATTAAGAAATAGGATTATCTTTTCCCCCAGTGTGCAGAAAATTTTTCTTCAGAGTAAATCAGATAATACTTATAAAATGATAAAGTAATATAAACTGGTAATAATAAAATAAATAAAATCTGTTTGAGAAAATAGTTTTGAAATTTTTAATATTGGGACTGCCTTTACAAAACTGAATAGTTCTTTTCCAAAGCAACAAAAATGATTTGATGTTAATAGGTAGAATATGTGACTCACTCAATTCACTTTTAAAATCACTTTTGTTCCACAAGTGTTTTTTTTTTAATTACTGGAGATTGAGGTTATAAAGAACCAGTTTACACTGATTGCATTTGTTAGGTAAAGTCCCTCTTATAATTGTGTCCCGCCCCCAAAAGGGGTGTCATACACCATCACCCCCACATCCCACAATAGTGTTTGTTGTGAAGTCAGTTTTCAAAAATCAAAGTAAAAATATCACTAAAAGCTACTGTTTAGATGGTATGTATAAACTCCTAATTTTGTGGTTAGGTTATGAAAAACAATATATATATACTAGATTTGATTTCTTAGAGATTATGATGCCCATTTAGATCGATAGGTAGTATTTCATTCAGGATCCTTGTTTGAGGCACAGCAGAAAGCCTAAATGTTATCATAAATAGTTTTTTCTACCTCAACTTTTTTTTTTTGCAGATTTTGGCTGGGGCTGGGTTTGAACCCACCACCTCCAGCATATGGGGCCAGCACCCTACTCCTTTGAGCCACAGGCACCACCCTCTACCTCAACTTTTAATAAATACTGTATATTGAAAAAATAGAATAATTCATGATTTGAAATTTTACATTACACTTAGTGAAAAGAGACTTTCCTTTCAAAGCTTAGTCCACTTCTAGTTATTTTGATAGGCAACTCAAAAGTTATCTAGCTGCAATAACAACTAAACTATGGAGGAAAGGACTTATGTTCAGTTGTACTTAAATCACTAAACATTTAATCTGTGGATGATATGAGGACACAGGATATGTATACACATATAAAACTGAACAACAGATGTACCTACCCTTGAAAAAAATTCAATCCTCTAAGACAGCAGTTCTCAACCTGTGGGTTGTGACCCCTTTGTAACAATGAAAATACATCCTGCATATCAGATATTACATTACAATTCATAACAGTAGCAAAATTACAGTTATGAAGTAGCAACAAAAATAATTTTATGGTTGGGGGGTCCCAACGTGAGGAACTGTATTAAAGGGTCGTGGCATTAGGGTCCTTTAATACACTGCTCTAAGAGATAGTAGGAAGCAAAAAAGGTATTAATCAACAATTAGAAGGTAGGGCAGAAATTGATATCAAATGTACCGAGTACTCTTCAGCGCAGAGAGAAAAGGTTCCTTGTTGCTGGGGCAAAAGCCTTGGTGCTGCTTGGTCAATAACCTCATTCTTGAAGGTTCAGTTCAAATGACAATTCCTTAGTGAAACCCTCCTCATTAGTATTAATTGGCCTCCTGCTCATATGGTGGTCACAGAATTTTATTGAAAAGACTCTTATAGTACAATATATGATGTTAGAGTTGTTTGCATAGTGTTTTTGTTTTCCCCATTCCCCTGACTACCTCAGGAACAAGGGCTGGTACACAGTAACCAGAAGATGACATTAAACCAAGAAGTGTTTATTCTGTGAACACCAGGAAACCATTTCCACATAGAGCTTAAAGGGAATTATGAAACAGAAAGTATATGTTTTCAAATGCTCAGGAGTATATGACCCCCCCCCCAAAGTTAAGAACCTTTATTTTAGACCACGTTAGAATCTATTCCCTTCAAATGACATGCACTTACTAGTGTTTAGATTATAATATTCAATCAATATATCCTTTTCAGTGAAAAACAATAAAATCTTATTTGATTGCATTATCTTTTACCCCAATATTAAGTAGTCATTATATAAAAAAGTGATGTAGTGATGATTATTCCCACATTCAAAGAATTTTAAAAAAGGCAGTATGTAACTCATGAATAGTTCTTAATAAATATTTGCTGAATCAAAATGAAGAGCTTTCTCATTCGTTTTTAAAGCTAGGATAAGAATCTAATCTCGTGAAGCATTAGTACCTCTAAGGAGGAAATGTAGCAAAGAATAAAAAAATCACTGTAGGTTTCTAATGTATAGCTCAGAAAGACAAATATGGTATATTTTTCTACCCAGGTATACACAATTAGTCTGTTTTCCCACATTTAAAAGCATTCAGTATGTATTTTATATTTTTAATTGCTTTAATGTAGGCTATCTTCAAAGGAAACTCAAATTTGGAGTCATGTAATTGCTACATCTATGGCTGGTTAATTAGGCTTTTAGTGTGGTGAGCTAAATGCATAAATCAGATACTAATAATGAGTAAATCAGAAGCTTGCTTTCCTACATGGAGTCAATTACCAATCATTGGTTCATGGTCATTTACTGCACCTCAATCTTGGTTGACCAACTCGAAAATGGGGGAGAGGGGTGTGCAGTACAGGGGATAGCTTCTCCATGAGCCACTGGAGAAGGGAAAAGACTAATTTATTCAGAACACTTCTTAGCAGGGTTTTAGAAATATAGAAATTTAAAAAAAAGATAAACTGCTAATTAGAAAACTGTAATAAACACATGGTAAAAGAACGCAGCATGTTGAGTTGTACAGATTCCCAAAGAAGGTGATACCTGAGTAGTTTTGCTGGGCAAGCAGGAAATCAGGCAGAGCAGAAAGGAGGGGAGGATGATAACATAGTAGAAAAACTTAAGCCAAAGCAGAAAGACAACAGCAAAATGATTTTTCTTTTTTGAAACAGCGTCTCATTATGTCACCCTCGGTAGAGTGCCATGCTATCACAGCTCACAGCAACTTCCAACTCTTGGGCTTAAACGATTCTCTTGCCTCTCTCTTGCCTCAGCCTCCCAAGTAGCTGCAAATGCGATGCCCACCACAATGCCTGGCTATTTTTTGTTGCAGTTGTTATTGTTTTATCTGGCCCAAGCTGGGTTTGAACCTCCCAACCTAGGTGTATGTGGTTGGTGCCCTAACCACTGTGCTATCGGCGCCAAGCCAGAGCAAAATGATTTTATTGCTAGAGCACAGCCTGTGTTTCGAGATGGGTGAGATTAAGGTGGAACCTGCACTTTTATCAACTAGTTTTAATTTTTTTTTTAACTTCCTCCTGTAGTGATTCTCTTGCGCCCCATGTAGCTGGGATTACAGACACTGGCCACAAAGTCCAGCTGTTTTTTTTCTTTTTTGGAGAGACGGGGTCTCACTCTGGCTCTGATATTCAGCCATCTGATTTGGCCTTTACAGAAAATTAGGAATGCTGGGTGTGGTAGTTCACATCTGTAATCCTAGCACTTTGGGAGGCTGAGGACTGCTGGAGCTCAGGGGTTTGAGACAAGCCTGAGCAAAAGTGAGACCCTGTCTCTACTAAAAATAGAAAAACTAGCTGGGTGTTGTGGCAGGTGCCTGTACTCCCAGCTACTTGGGAGGCTGAGGCAAGTGTATCCCTTGAGCTCAAGAGTTTGAGGTTGCTGTGAGCTATGATGCAACGGCACTCTAACCAGGGAAATAGATTGAGACTCTGTTTCAAAAAAAAGAAAAGATTAGGAATGAAGTCAAAGGAGCAGACTGATAGGAATAAGTTCCATTTATACTTGTTTGGTTTAAGGTACAAGGTAATTAGGTGATAGAAATGTGAGTACCTTTATTCTATAGATAGCAACTGAAAATACGAGATGAAGTAAACTAGGCAGAATATGTAGCATATGAAGGGATGAAGAAAAGAACCATGGGGCAGCAATATTTAAGAGAAGGAAGTCCCTGCAAGAAGACAAGAAAAGATCAGAAATATATCCAGGAAAAAGTGATGCAAAAAGAGGCTTTTCAGTAAAAGGGAGATGCTTAATGTCAAATATTTCAGAAGTCATTATTGGAAAAACAAAAATAAAAAGTGTTTGTCCTTACAAAGTCTATCACATAAAATGTACTAAATGCACATTCACTTATTTCTACTAGCACATCATTCTTATCCTCCTCAAGTCAACTTCAAATATATTCCAAAAGATATAAAATAAATACTAATTTAAAAAATCTGTTTCTCCTACACTTTTCTGTCTTAATGCTCTTAAGTTCTTAATTTTGATGGTATCTTAAAACAAATCCAGATAGGGAATCTAGATTCAATTAAAATTTTCAACTAGATTTTCCCCTTTTTATTCTAGTTTAATATGCTACTAAAGATAAAAAAATTACTATGAGGATTGTTGTGTTTTGTTTTGTAACAAATGGTCAGTAGAGTTAATCAAACCTCTGCTATTTTGCACAGCTAATATAATATAGCTAATACAGGAGAGTGACAATCAACAAGCAGCTAACACAGTCTAAGATCCTAAATTGTATATGATCCTTAATCAAAGATATGATTAAGCTCACAATTTCTATATTGAAATAGAGAAGTACACTCAATACATTTAAGAAAGAATAAGGATTAAAACCAAAGATTTTCATTAGATTCCAGTTAACCAAAAAACAAGTATTCTGATTGGTCAGTATATCACAGTGGCCTGAAGTATAGTTTCTTGTGATTTTTATAAAAAAATCACCTAGTATTTTGGGGAGAAAAGGTCTTACTTAGAAAAGTGGCCCAATATTAAAATAAAGTGTCACAAAAAACCCAAAATTAATCCCAGACTAGAATTCTTCAAAATAAGTCTTATAAACTAAAAACCACTGAACTATACATTTTAAATGGGTGAATTTTAAGGAATGTGAATTATGTTTCAATAAAGCTATTGATGTCATCGTATTTTTTATACTATAGAAACCTAACCATACACATACCATAAAATTTACCATCTTGGCCATTTTTAAACATACAATTTAGTTGTACTAGGTACTTTCACACTGTTGTACAACCATTACCATTCAGGTCTGGAACTTTTTTCATCTTGCAAAACTAAAACTTTGTACTCATTAAACAGTAAGTCCCCATTCCTTCTTGCCCTTCACTTCTGAAAAGCACTAAGTGTTAAGCTTTTAAGTGTTTAGTATAAGGTGAAATTCTTACCAAATTATGTATAATATTTGTTAAGGTCCAAGCAACAGGAACACTGAAGAAGGGAATGCTGAGTAAGACAATATGAAGCAAGCCAACTCCCAATGCGTATGTCAGCCACATACCCCGGCTGTTCATTACACGCGTATTTGGATTCACCTCACTGTGGGCAACTCCAACATTCATGTTTGCTCTGTAGAGAAGTAATAAAATGTATCAACACTGACATAACTGGCAACACAAATACCCCTAATTCTGACATGGAGAAGTGTTACAGGGATTATTTTTTTCCCAGTTCTTAAATAGAACAGATACACCCACCAAAATATGCTACTTGTAGATGCTGATGAAGGCAGTAAAGAATCTTCAACATTTGACTTTTGGCAAAATAAACAAGACTTATTTTTATGATTCTCTTTGAAAAAATAACTAAATCTCTTTCCTAAACTTGTCTTTTAGCATGTTAGGTTTACTAAATGAAATAATGAACAGGAAAACTACAACTGAAAGAGAAAACCTACATTTTCTTCTATCATGAGAACAAAGTGAAAAGCCAGGAGCTAAACTTGCCAGAGAATAATATTTAAAGAAAGCAGAACTGACTCAGCCAGTCTGTTGAGTAGCCACTCTTTAAAGTCATGTTGTAGCCACAGAGTGGTTAGAGTTCAGATTACTTCTTGAATACTGACCCTGGGAAGAACATGCCATTGACATAATGTGTAAAATGTACACTGTCAAAGGATAATCATCCAAAATTTTGTGATACATCTGGGTTAGAGCAATAAGTCTTCTGAGTATTTCTCTAGGTAACTTCCCTGAAACTTTAATTTCCTTTCTTTCTTTTTTTTGAGACAGGTGGCCTTGGTAGAGTGCCATGGCATCGTAGCTCACAGCAACCTCAAATTCTTGGGCTTAAGCGAATGTCTTGCCTCAGCCTCCAAAGTATAGCTGCGACGATAGGTGCCCACCACCACCTACAGGCTATTTTTTGGTTGCAGTTATCATTGTTGTATTAGCAGGCCCGTGCTAGGCTTGAACCTGCCAGCCTGGCACCCTACTCACCGAGCTACAGGCACTGAGCCTCTTTCTTTTTAAAAAAGTTTTTCCATTACCCTTTTATATTCAAGATGAACACTAAAGGAAGAATTGATAATAGTTCCCAGTTTGTTTGTTTGTTTTTTTAGAGACCGAGTCTCATTTTGTTCCCCTCGGTAGAGTGCCGTATCGTCATAGCTCACAGCAAGCTCCAGCTCTTGCTTGGCCTCCGGGGAGTGAGCCTCCCGAGTAGCTGGGACTACAGGCGCCTGCCCCAATGGCCGGCTATTTTTTTTTGTTGCAGCTTGGCCGGGGCACGGTTCAAACCCGCCACCCTCGGTATATGGGGCCAAGGCCCTACTCACTGAGCCACATTATTTTAATGATGACGTTTACTTGCATCGAATAAAATCTAAAAATAAAACTGTGTTGAAGAATTTTATCATCCCGGGGAGAGAGAAACGGGGCTAGATTACATTTGGAACAGCTCTGATTTAAAACTATATTAACTTGTTCCATTAGAGTTAACACAAGACAGAGGGATTTCTCATAACCCCATCCAGCCAAGTATTTCAGTGTGTAATGTCCTTGCTACCTTCTGAAGATCTATGGAACAAGAATGATGAAAATCTCTAAGACAAAGCAAAAATTACATGTATAAATATTTCTTCTACTCTAAACACCCATCATTTATCATACGTTATTTTCAACTGTTACAAATTATACCTAGAACATGCCACCACTCAAGATACTTTTCCCACTTTCCACGAGATGGAAAAAAAAAGGTCCGAAAAAGGCCTAAACTGTGTATCTCAGATGTAAGACCAAGGTAGTGTGGTACCGACCCTACCTTACCCAGAAAAGCTTTCCTTGGCAGGTGTGCCACACCGCTTCAGGACCGACAAACAATGGCCTCACAGACAATGAAGAGCCTCTGGCTCTGCCCTCGCCGGTGCCCGAGTAGACGGCGACCCGCAGTGGCACCCTGGTGGCAGCCTCCCCCAGCAGCCTGAGCTGCCGGCTAGTGGAACTCAGCAAAAGCCATTGCTTCTGCCGCCGCAGCGCCTCCCCCACCCGCCCCCTTTCTTCTCCCAGCCGCACATCCAGTTAGGACTGTAGCACATCAAGGAAAAGGGGAGGCGAGCCTCTGAGGCCACCTGCCCCCCACAGCCGTCCAGGGAGCCACGGAGGCAGCCGGAGCCTAGTCTGTCCCCTCAGAACAACCTAGCGCGCCAGCATCTCCGTGCCGAATAAGGCAGCAGTACAGCCCCTCCGTGTTCCTGCTTACTTACCGGCCGCCCCACTCTTAGCCGCCGGCAAAGAGCTGGACCAGCCCGGCGGCTACGGCAGAGTATGGTCACGCCCCGAAGGCCAGTGCTCCGCCCCAGCGGCGCGCAGCTTGCGCAAGCCTTCGGAGGCAAGCTCGCCGCCAGAGGATTGGTTGCGAGCTGCGCCAATCCCACGTTACCCCGGCAAGGCGGGACTAAGTGCTGCGCGCTGGTGTCCGCTCTGTGGTGCGCGCGCGCGCCGGAGCGAGTGGGCGGGCACGTGAGGCCGGGCCTGGGTTTTGGGTGGGTTGCTGGGTGCTCGCCGCTAAGTGGTTGGGAATTGTTTGTCTCGCGCGAGTAGGAAGGTAGTGTCAACTGGCTAACCGGCTTTTATTCTCATATTCTCGAAGGCTTGAGGGCCCCCTACCCTAAACTCGTCCGGAGCCGACCCCGAGCGCCGCCAATAGCTAGGTAGCCTCCTCCCGGCGGGAAGCGAACGGAGCGGGCTTGCGGGCGCGCTCACGTGGACGGCGTTTCCCGGGCAGGTCAGGGCTCGTTAGTGGTCTCGTTTGACCTTTGTTGCAGGTGGTTCCCCAGATGCTTCTGGGTGCAGGATTCTGTTTTCCAGGCAGAAAAGTTAACCCGTGACAACCATAACTGTTCCAGTGATTGTAGTGTTTTATAGTATGGTATGTTGTGGTACCATTCAAGGGTTGCAAGTAAATTCTTTTCAGTTAATCACGGTTTTTGCTAGTAATCTGGGCTTTTCCACACTCTGAAGACAGGCACGTTGTATTGCATTCTGGGGAAATGTGGATTCCAAAAATTGATCTTATGTGAAGAACGAGAAGAAAGGCCTTTGATCAGAATTTTTCGAATCATCTTTGAAATTCCTTTTACCTTGGCAGTGCACAAAGTCTGTGATTTTTATTGTTTAAAATAACTGCCAACGACATTTTAAAGTAGATTTAAGAGGATTTTCCCGTGCATGTTTATTTAGCCTCTGTTGGTTTTATGAAAACAATTTATTCTATTCCTTAAATAAATTTTTTTCTCGTGTGTTTTCCCTAAAGTCTGAGTTCTCCAACCTTTACTTTTTTTTTTTTTTTTTAGGTGCACCTGTTCTCTCAGCAAAAATGGAAGACGGGCTATCTTGACATTCTCAGATATTCTGTGCTGTGACTTGTAAGCCTAATATCAGCCCTTCACTTTTCAAAAAAGGTCATTTGGTATATTCATAGTCAAATGTTATATTCCAGATGTTATGCTATGGATGTGTAATTAATATAAAATCCTGTTCTCAAAGAACTCTGATAGAGGAAGAGGGGGACAAACAGAAAGAATAACCTGTGATGAGTTTTGGATTAGAAATAAGGAGAAGGTGCTGTGAGAGTACAGCAGAAGGAATGCCTAATCTTTTGAGCAAATCTTTGCTAATTTTCCCTAATCTTTGCTTCCCTTGAGCAAAGAAGGGAAGCTGGCACTTGGGAAAAAAGGTTTCCTGGAGGATGTGATATGGAAGGATGGTGAGAAGTCAGCCTAGAGAGAAGTACCCACATAAGCTAAGGGAGGAGTGAGTTGCCACCATATTAAGAGAGACAAGTCACATAGTATGACTGTCTTACCTAGTGCACATTTGGGGAATGATGGGATGAGATTAGAACAGTAGGCAAAAATCCAATTGTCAGGAGTTAGGACTTAACCTGGTTAACAGTTTGAATGCTTTATAAAAATTTTAAGTAGGGTAGCAGCGTGATGAAATTTAAGTTATAGAAAGAACTTTAGAAGTGGTAGAAATTGAAGTCAGAATATCAGTTAGGTAATTATTGTAATAGTTAAAGGTGGAAGGGTTGAGGGGCTGAACAGAGGCAGTACAAAGAGGAGAGGACTAGTTTGGGAAATATTTAAGTAGTAAGAAGGCTAGGACTGGATGGCAGGATAAGTGAGGAAAATTTCTAGGATGACTTCAAAGTTCTAATTTTGCTTTGTGTGCTTGGATGGAAAGTGTTCAAGAGCATGGCCTTTGGAGTCAAACTGCTAGGGTATGCACCTGCCACTTGATAGCTTTATGATCTTGAGCAAGCTTAAATTCCATTTGTGATAGAACAATGATAGTATACATAGGATTGTTGTGAGGATTAAACAGGATGATGTTTATAAAGTTCTTATGTTAGCTGTTGCTTTCGTTATCAGAGAAAGATAGGACAGCAGCGAATTATTGCATAAGCGGAATATGCAGGTACCAAAAAAGCTAATTAGAGAAAGATTGTGGGGTCAGTTTGGGACTTGTTAGTTTAAGTTGTCGTCAGTCATCTAAATAATGATATTTAGAAGATAGGTGGAAATAAGGCCCTGGAGTCCAGTGAAAGTTATAAGATACGGGTAAGCTAGGGGGTGAAATGGAGGCCAGTTTAAGTATGTAAGTGACTTGCTCAGAAGAAAGACACTTTTTCAGAAGTTTACATTAACTCAGGAAACGTGCTGATAAAATTACTTTTAGTGGTTTTTCGTTAATATTCATGAAGTGCTTTCCTTGAGTCAAGTACTGATTGTTCTATGTGGCATTTTATATACATATATATAAAATACATAATTCTTTGCATTGAAAAGTTGTATAGTTCAGGACTAGGGAGTAATAGGTGTAATTATACAATTTATATTTTTATATTCAGTGAATGTAAATTGATTAATTTTTACATTAATGAACAATCCTCTCCCCAACTTCTAAATCCCTCAAGCTAACTTATTAGGCTTGAGGTCAAGAAGTCTTCTACCAGTCAGGCGCAGTGGCTCACACATGTAATCCTAGTATTCTGGGAAGTCGAGGTGGGTAGATTGCTTGAGCTCAGGAGTTGGAGGCCAGCCTGAGCAAGGGTGAGACTCCATCTCTACTAAAAATAGGAAAAATAGCCTGACATTGTGGCAGGCACCTGTAGTCCTAGCTACTTGGGAGGCTGAAGCAAGAGGATCCCTTGAGCCCAAGAGTTTGAGGTTGCTGTGAGCTATAATGTGCCCCTGTTCTCTACCCAGGGCAACAGAAGGAACTTCTACTTCAAAGAAAAAATAAGTTTTCTACCTTAGTTTGAGACTTGTGAGGATCTCAGGAAAACGCTGATCAACAAAACTTTGGGATACTAAACTAGCCTCGTCTCAATCTTCTGGATAGTCTTCCTAATTTCATCATCTTTGTCTCATTTCTCATTCCCTCCATAAGGCCTCTTCCAAAATCTTTTTTTTTTTTATCCTTAATTTCATCCCAGTATTTCTCATCCTTAAGTATCATTTAATCCTATAATCAATGTAAAAATTAATAATATTTGATATTTTTTATGCTGAATTTGAAATCCAGCATGTATTAGCATATGTCAGTTTAAATGACTCAACACATTTCAAGTGCTCAATGGTTATGTGTGGCTAGTGGCTACCACATTGGACAGTGGAGATCTGAGGCTTCTGAAGACTACAAAATACGCTATACTTTGCTTGCGATAGCACTAGTTGATGTGGATGTTATGACAGTGAAGCAGCATTTCATAACTGGGAATGGGATCCATATTCACAGGTACTTTCCTTAAAACTGGGTACCCACAAACAAATTCAAATGTATAGATTAATTAGAGGGTGATTTAATATTAAAAAGAATTCCCAGCATTCTTTTACATAATGATCTTTTATCATACTATGCATTTTACAAAGCTTTACATTTATAAAATACACACTTTGATCCTTACAATAAACCAATGAGACATCCTTTTTTATGGATGATTTGATCATACAGAGGGATTTGAGTGATTTGCTTCATTTTATGTTTAATGAAAGTAAACCCCAAGACATTTTATAGATTCTGATGTTAGGTTTTTTCACTTTGCTTATCAGCTTTGCCTTATGTATAGCAAAATATAGTCATGTTGTCTTTATGAATTGTGGCCAGTTCACTCCATCAGAACCCAATGTGTTTGACCTTTGAAATGCATTCCTTAAAATACTATGTAATTGTTAATAGTGCCAGTACTTCATTTCCTACTCACTTCCTGAATCTTACTTTACATGACCCTTCTTATGTTGCCTGAGAAAGAATCCTAATGTAATGCATTTTATTTTGGGCATTGCTATTTTGTTTGAACTTAGATTCCATAGGATTAAACATCATATGAGCATGTAAGTAGTCATGGTAAATAAAGAAGTAGTTATAGTCTCCCCCGTCCCCATTTCTTTGTCTAGGAAAATCTTGACTCTATGGAAGAATTGCCTGTTGTCAAGTATTTTCCAATAATCCTTTCTGAAATTAGGCATTAAGGCAAAGCCCATTCCTTGCATGTTTTATGTATGTAATTTCCACATGAGATTTTTTTGGGTTTTTTTATTTGTTTGAACAATGGTTTCCATCGTTAAAAGAAGTATCTGCTTGGAGATTTTGGATCTACAGGTTGGATCTATCTACAAAGATCCCTGAATGCCAGCTTAGAGATTTGAGCTTTATTTTATTGGCTTTGGGGAGCCACGTGATTAAAATGATGTGTTAGGCAGAATAATATATCAGGTTGGTAAAAAAATAATTGCGATTTTTGCTTTTTAGAAATGTGCTATTTGATACTGGAATACATTTTCAAGTGTGGTTATACTCGACATCATTTTAATGCATATTTCTCACTTTATGTTTTTGTGCTGATGACTTAGTGCTGTTTATTTTCTGTTGATTGTGGGTTAGAGAATGACATTAGACAAAAAACTAATTAAAGTGATTTTCTAATTTGAGTTCAAGATGGGTCATAAAGCAACAGAGACAACTTACAACATCAAAGGTGCATTTGGCCCAGGAACTGCTAAGGAACGTGCAGTGCAGTGGTGGTTCAAGAAGTTTTGCAAAGGAGACAAGAGCCTTGAAGATGAGAAGCCTAGAAACTGGCTGTCAGAAGTTGTCAATGACCAATTGAGAGCCCTCATCAAAGCTCATCCTCTGACAACTACATGAGAAGTTGCTGAAGAACTCAACATCAGACGTTCTCCAGTTGTTTGGCCTTTGAAGCAAATTGGAAAGGTGAAAAGCTTGATTAAGTGGGTACCTCATGAGCTGATCAAATGTCAGAGCAGTCATTGTTTTGAGTGTCACGTTCTCTCTTATTCTATGCAACAGTGGTGAACCAGTTGCGAGCCATTTCTCCATCGCATTGTGATGTATGAAGAAAAGTGGATTTCATACAACAACCAGCCAAAAACGGCTCAGTTACTGAATCACCGTGAACCTCCAAAGCACTTCCTAAAGCCAAACTTGCACCAAAAAAAGGTCATGGTCACTGTTTAGTGGTCGTCTGTTGCCAGTCTGATTCACTACAGCTTTCTGAATCTCAGCAAAACCATTACATCTGAAAAGAATGTTCAACAAATCAAGAAAAACTCCAGAGCTTGCTTCTGATAACACCTGCCTGCATGTCACATAACCGCTGCATCAAAAGTTGAATGAATTGGGCCAAGAATCATCAATCTTATTTACCTGACCTCTCACCAACTGACTACCACTTCTAGCGTCTCAAATTTTTTTTTTTTTTTTATACTGTTTTGGCCGAGGCCAGGTTTGAACCCACCACCCTCTGGTATACAGGGCCAGTGCCCTACTACTTGAACCACAGGCACTGCTCTAGCATTTTCAACTTTTTGCTTAGAAAATGCTTCCACAACCAGCAGGATGCAGAAAATGCTTTTCAGAAGTTCCTGGAATCTCGAAGCATGGATTTTTATGCTACAGGAAGAAACAAACTTATTTCTCATTGGCAACAATGTGTTGGTTGTAAGCTCCTATTTTGATGAATAACAATGTGTTTGAGCCTAGTCCAAATTCATGGTCCAAAACTGTACTTGCCTTTGCACCAACATAGTAGTTATCTGACATGTCTGGTATCTGGCTAGTTCAGGTTAACGGTAATTCTGGAATCTAGATACCTAAAGTCCAAAAGACCTCAGTGATTGAAAAAGATGATTCATTAAAACATATAAATGACTAATGATGGTAAAGCAAGACTGTTGGTAAGGTACAAGATTGACCTTGTCATCATCCATGTCCCAAGGTGATAGTGCCACCTGGTCTTTTCTAGCTAAACAAAACATATACTCATTATAGCACAACTGTTCTTATCATTCTTCAGTTATTACCATAATGTAATTTACTGACTAAATTTTTTTTTAATTAAATGATAGCTGTGTACATTAATGCAGTCATGGGGTACAGTATGCAGTCATGGGGTACAGAAATTTGAAATATTTTCATCAAACTGGTTAACATAGCCTTCATGGCATTTTCTTAGTTATTATGTTAAGTGCTAACTAAATGTTTTTAAGTAATTTTTCAGAACATGCTTGTTTTGTTGATTCTAATGTGTGTGCTTTCAGTGATCTACTGTGGTGAGTTTGGACAAAGACATAATTGACACAGACATCTAAGGAAATAGATAAAAATCTTTAATGAGAAGTGTCTAGGCCCAGTTACTTCATCACTCAGGTCTTTTTAGCCTTTTAAATTGTAATAATTATAAATTATCATTTTTACATGTAATACTTTTTTTTGAGACAGGGTATTGCTCTATTGCCCAAGTTATAGTAGAGTGACATCATCAGCTTCCTGCAGCCGTCAACTCCTGGGTTTAAGCAAACCATCTGCCTCAGCCTCCTGGGTGAGGCACACACCATCATACTTGGCTAATTTTTTTTTTTTTTTTTTTAATGGGACAGAGTCTCACTGTGTCACCCTTGGTAAAGTGCCATGGCATCCAAGCTCACAGCAAACTCCAGCTCTTGGGCTTAAGCAATTCTCTTCCTTAGCCTCCCAAGTAGCTGGGATTACAGGCGTCCACCACAACACCTGGCTATTTTTGTTGCAATTGTCACTGTTGTCTAGCAGGCTGGTGGCCTGTTTCAAACCCGCCAGCCTCAGTGTGTGCGGCTGGTGCCGTAACCACTGTGCTACAGGCACCGAGCCATACCTGGATAATTTTTAAATTTAAATTTTTTGTAGAGACAGGGTCTTGCTATTGCTGGTCTTGAACTCCTGGGTTCAAGTGATCCTCCTATCTAGGCCTCCCTGAGTGGTAGGATTACAGGTGTGAGCCGTGGTACCCAGCCTCTTTTATGGTTTTGCAGTTTAAATACAATGTCACATATAAAGTGCTTAGCATAATGTCTAGCTTACTAGATATTTAATAAATGGTAGTTTCTGCTCTTATTATTTTAATTAATGGGTGGTACAGACTGAGTATCCAAGGGTCAGGAGTCATGGAGGCTAATTAGGGAATTAT